TTCTTAAAGCGGAAAAAAGAGCTATAACGAAAGATTTTAATTTGTTTACAAAAATAGCCCGCGGAAGAAGCCACGTGTGAAGTCGAGTTATCGCCGAGTGAGATAGAAAGAAAGGCAAATATGGAATTATCGGCCAAAACACGTGTCGATACAGGCAGGAAGATTCAATATTAATTATTTTTCCAAGATATCGTTTAATTTCTTTTCTTGGATACAGGCGAAGAGAAGGAACGTGGCAATTATAAAATTTTGGCATTGTCTCGATATAGGTGAGAAGATTGTTATCATTTACTTTGCCAACAGACGCTAAGACGACGAATGGCCATATGGCAATTGTAAACTTTCGGCAGTCCCCAGAAAATAGTTGAAAATTGAGATTTGGCGAGATAAAAAAGAATTTGGTTTCTTAACAGGTCAGGGATTCCATGATAAAGCTGACTTGGAGTGGGGAACCAGATGGCAAACTTTGACCGTGATTAATGAGACGGTAAGAGTGCTGGGTGGCCCAGGAAAAAGAGAATATGTGATAAAATAATTTTGTAAACAAAAATTCTAGATTAAGATTTTAAGGGGGCCAGCTTAGCCACACCTGCAATGCCGAGAGATCAATGGTAATGGGCGGAGGTGAATGGATGAGAAAGGCGGAGAAGATGAAGGGATTGTTATGAGATATCAATATGAGAGAGAAAGAGTCTAGGAAGATAGCTCTCCTCCGACCTTCCCTCACGAACGGAAGAGACCCCCCCACCGAAATGGGAAGTGTCTAATTTTCCAAAAATGGGAAATAATCAATTTTCCTGTCCTGACAACAAAGAGATTTCTTGTTAGAAATAGAGATTATCAAGAACCACAGGCCGCGTCGGGCCCACACACCGGGTTTTGGTCGGTACCCATATAAACGTCCGCCGATGGGTCGTTCAGAAGTGAAGTCGTAGTCCAGCTCCTGTGAGAGTCAGAAACAGTTGAGTTGCAGAGTTGGAGAAGTTGTAGTTGAGTTGAGTTGAGCTGGTTTTGAACCAGGGTGTTGCCTCGCAGAAGCTGACCAAGAAATTCCATGACCTCCAATTCGCCGATGCTAGATAGCAAATTATACTGACGAACGAAGTTAAGCCAGTTCTTAAAAACTACATTAGTTGACTTACGATATCAACTTGCCTGAAACATAGAAGTGTCACATTTCGCAGGAAACGGACTGGGAGAAAAACGCTCCTGTATACAACAGAAGGATAATGTTGAATTGTTATTTCTTAACATACTTGAACTTCTTGGGGTTTTCTTTCATTTATTTTTTTCTTTGCGCTTGTACGATGTCACCTTCAATTTGGACTCGGGTGACACTACGGCCCGACGCCTGATTGATCTCGTCTACCTAAGAATAAAGTCACAACGTGGGTAGGTTAGACTTGAGATCAAGTCAGTTACTCCAGTAACCAGACGTTGCAAGTGAGCTGTGAACAATAGAGTTGGCATTGAACCGGTCAACTGGTGAAGCCGTTAACATCGACGACCAGAACTCGACTCTGGTGTCACATATTGGTGCCGTAACCACTGGATTTGACCCTGGACGGCTGAGTGTCACATACTGGTATCCTGACTAGGGATTTTGCCAAGTAGCGACGACCACCGAACGACCGGGACACGGGCTGGTGGCAGCGACAAAAAGTCAACCCCAAAACGCCGGTAGAAGAAACCTTACAGCTTCGCGCCGCCACTGGGGGTTGACCACAGGCCGACGGCTTTGTATTAAACGTTTGATCGTGTTCCCTACACGCTGGTAATTTCGTTCTAGAGTTGAGCTAATTACTTTTTAGTTCCGTTTGTTGCGAAACTAGTCGTAATACACCTCATAGCATTTTTAGACCTTTGTTTTTTTGTAGCAAATCTCAAATCATTTTTAAAGAGATTTGTTTAGCCATTTTTGCGAGACCGTGTCCGTTGTTGGACCTTCTTAACATAACAGAGTCCTGAAGTCGAGATTCCCAACCTCCACAGTTTGTTTTGGCTCCTTTTTATCTCGACTGGCTCAGCTTTTCCCATGTCCATATATTTTCTCCTTTCCCAACTCCCTTAGCCAGAGAGCCTCTTGATTTTGTCCAAATGGGCAGAATACAGTGTCCTCTCTTTTTTGAGGGTTGGACTGGGCCTACATCAGTTATGTTTTGTTCACTTTGTGTTCATACTTAGTTTGTTATTGGCTTCATCTCCCTTCGCTCTCATTTTTCATCTTTAGAATTGTATATATAGTTTATTATCATTAAATTTTTATGGCATGGGGCGCATTTCGTAGGTTCCCCTTGAGAGGATGTGGTATTATGGTGTATGGAGGATTGATTGGTTGGTGACAGACGATTCTTTATGGTGAATGGGCAAATTGTAATGAGTGAATGGGTCATGAATCGGATTAGCTAGGTATATGATAGTTAGTGAAGACCATCCTCAACCCCTCCCCTTTTTCGGCCATGTACCATGATTGTATTTTTAAATACATAAACGGTACCCAGTTTCCTGATTTGTCGGTACGCAGGCTCCTGGCTTTTTGTGGCCCCGACGCCGACCAGGGCTGCGTTTAAGTTACGCTCCCATTTTTTTTCAGCCGACTGGACGCGAGCTGGATCTACCTTTCTTTCGCTTTTTTCCTTGTAGCTCCTTGCCCATGTTTGACTCTCGGCATTCCGTCCCTACTGGCTGTCCGTACGTAGTCCCTAACGTTTCCCGTACACTACGGTTATGATTACTACGGGAGGTTTCGATATCGGACGCGACCAGCGGACACGCAATGCCATCACTGGACATTCGAATGCCCAACAACATCGCAGCAACGCTAGCTTCACGGCACTGACCAGATACTGCATCGCAACGTCAGCTCTCCGTTCCAGCCCGACACATCCAGTCCAGCAGCGACCAGCATCGATCACCTGCGACGACCTGCAGCGATCATCTGCAACGACCAGCCTTTCCCGTATACTATCGCTTGTAATTACTACGGGAGAGTTCGACACCGACGTCGACCAGCAATGCCTGCACCGCAACGTCCAACCGTCGACACGACTGGAACGAACGCATCTAGGCATCCCTGTGTTGACCTCGACTCCAAACAGTTAGCGCGACCGGAACGTCTGCATCTCTTTCCAACCGTTGACACGACCAGTCCAACCATCTGCACGACCAGTCCAACAACCATTACCACGATTACCAGAACAATTTACCACAATTAACAAACCAATCATTTTAGACAGCTTAAACAACGTTATTTTAAAAATAATTTGTTTTTTCTGAAAACACCTAAAATTAGTGAGAATAGAGCTGATTTTATATAAAACAATTGATTTCAGCTACATTAGACAGCTAACGCAAAGTTAGATTTAAAAACAATTAGTCTTTGCAAACTTACGAAAACATTCAAAAAGTAGTGAAAAACGAGTTGTTTTCGATCGAATTCAGCTAGTTTACACAGCTTACACAACATTATATCAAAATATTGGTATTTGCAAACTTTCGAAACACCTAAAATTAGTGAAAACCGAGTTGTTTTCGTCCTATTTCAGTATGACGTCCACCTCGTCGATCCGTCCGATGTTCGATCCACGGGGCTTAATGGATTCATTCCATTCCAAGCCTTGCCTTGCCCCACGTTGTGTTTGAGCCTGGCGAGGATCAAATTGTTGACAGGAATCGTTGAACTGGTTTGGTCCGGACAGAGTGAAGCCACAAGTCAAAAAAAAAATGTATAAAAGAAAATGTTTTAACGCTTCTTGCACAGAGCTGTGTTGAAAAAAAATAGTCAGTGGGAACACCACAATCAGAATGAATGAATGAATGAATGAAAAACGTTCTACCTTAACTTTTGGTGATGACAGAATAAACAACATTCATACAAAAGGCAATAACAAACGAGACATCGTTATGGTTTTAAAACACGGTAATTAATCTATTCATTCAGTATGATTCTCTTACAACAACTGAAGTAAAAAAGAGGGAAAATTCATAAAAAAAGGTCCATACGCCGTCTACATCTTGAAAAGCAAATGTCCAAGGTTCAAGGGAAATAACTAATCCCTTATTTATTTTGTTTTATTTTAAATATTATCTACAAATATTATCTACAAAGAGTGCAATCTAACAGCGAGTGAGAAGGAGTGTTGACACTACTTCTCACTCGCTGTTAGATAATTAAATTAAATTAGGGTTTTAACACCCAACAGTTCTTTGAGCTTCACAAACAGCGCACCAGTAAGTGATTTTGTTAGCACATCTACAGCCATATCTTTGCTTAGACAGTATTGTAGTTATATTGCTCTTGTTGCCACTTGTTCCCTGATGAAATGAAATTTAATATCCCTTTGTTTAGCGCGTCCATGGTACTGCGGATTTTTCGCCATGCAGATGGTTGTTTCATTGTCCACATAGATGACTGTTAGTTCAATCGAAGTTTCATTGAGATCACTAGCAAGATGGTGTAGCCAAACTGCTTCTTGTGCTGCACTTGCTAGTGCCATATACTCAGCTTCTGCAGTATATAATGCCACACAGGTTTGCTTTTGACTTTTCCAATTGACAACAGCTCCACCCAATTTAAACAGGTAGCCAGTGTGACGGACGCTGATAGCCCAAACACGCATATACGCATATATTAAGGTTAATTTCCGCCTGACAACAGAAGAGGTCACGTGGAAGTGGGAAAGCAAGTCAAGAGGTTGACTGACCCAATTACCCATAGCAACAGATGTCTAGACAGAATCTAGACAGGGGACTGATGTAAGCTGGAATTCGCGCCAAAACGCAGGACACAAGAGAGTTAGAAAATTAATTGGGAGTCAGTTTCTGTCTTGTCTTTGAAGGAGCAAGACTCGAAATCGAAGCGCTGATAACTTATGAACGGAAAGATGAGACTCATTTGATAATGATGGAACTTGTCCGATCCATCCCAGGCAACTCCGGACAAGAAATATAAGAACATGTATTTCTGTTCGATAACCCCAAATTGAAGACGATAACCTGTGTTATTTATCACAGAAGAAGGAATTTGTACGTTGAGAATACAAACTGCGTTTGAAGAAAAGAGAAAACCAGAGAGGAAGAAAGTATATATCTCTGTTACAAGCTGAATTGTGTAAAGAAAGAAAGAAAGAAAGAAAGAAGAAAATCCGAGAGAGGAAGAAAGTGTATATACCTGTTGCAGTTGAATCGTGTTTGAACTGAACTGTATACAGAAGAAGAAAGAAGGAAAGAAAAAGGAAAACCAGAGAGAGGAAGAAAGTGTATATCTCTGTTACAGCCGGACAGTGTGTGAAATCGTATTTGTGTAAAAGGGAAAGAAAAGAGGAAACTTGAAAGAGAAAAGAAAGGACAATGATAAAAAAGAGAACTGAATATAAAGATAAGTAATCATATATTTTGAACCCGTGTTAGAAAGATACACATGCATTCATAAATATTATGTTCTTACAAACACCTTTCCACAAGTCAAAATAATATGTAACTCCTATCCCATCTCTTTTGGTTATGTGTTGATTTTTGTATTCGTAGTTATTCATACTTATATTTTTTATCCGTTCGGGTACAGTCGAATCCATTTGGAATTAGGCATATTTTGATATCCCAACATAAGTCTGGTCGTCGGATGTTTTACTCATGCTTATATTTTCTTTTATTTTAATATTTTGTATATCTGTACATATTAAAGTTCTTATATCAAAATTCACTACGCATTATCGTTCATCTTTGAATTGTGGATCAGTATTAGTGTTGAAACCGAAGCGAACCTGGGAAAAGATTACTGTTCGATTATCCTAATCGAACAGTGTTCTTTAAAATATTTTTTTGTTTACTAATTGTCCATTGTCATGATCTGGGAGAGATAGCCTGTATCTCTCCACAAGTGTGATAATGTATATATCTTCTGGTCGGCGTATGATCGCCTTATAAACCCATTCGTCGACTAGGGCATATGACACCAGTGGTTGATTTGCGATCATTGATATCGCCAGCCCAGTCTGCATCTAAATATCCTGTGAGGTTGCTTGTTTCTCCACTTCTGTAAAGTAAGCCATAATTCAGGGTACCATTCAAATATCGCAGGATATGCTTAACAGCTGTCCAATATGGGAACAAAATCTTGCTACAATAAAAATAGTAGGTTGGGAACAAAATCTTGCTACAATGCCAACAGCATAAGCAATATCTGGTATTGTCCTCGTTGATAGATATGGTAAGGCTTTCAATTGCTGACTGGGAAACCTCTTTGTCAAATAATTCACTGTCGCTGGTTGCTTTTGTTAGTTTCGCTCCTGCATCACATTAAAACTTTTTCCAAAACTTCTGCTGTGTATGTGGGTTGACCAATCCAAAATTTTCCGGATTCCGGATAAACAACTTTAACGCCTAAAAAGTAGTGTAGTTTACTCATGTCCTTGATGTTGAAATTCTCACAAATTTTTTAGAAATTTATGGATGCGTATGGAAGACTTGCTCGCAACAATAAGGTCCATCGACATAAACACCAACTATAAACATCTCTCCTTCTGAAGATAGTGTATATATAAACGAATTATTTTTTAATTGCTTTAGACCCATCTTTTTCAACTGACAGTCAAGTTTTTCATTCCAACATCTTGGCGATTGTTTCAGGCCATACAGGCTTCGCTTTAGTTTACATACATGATGTTCTTTTCCTTTCATCACAAATCCTTCAGGTTGCTTCATGTAAATATCTTCCTTAAGTTCACTATTCAGGAATGCAGTAGTTATGTTTGCCTGATGTAACTTCAGGTCATACTTTCTGCTAATGCAATAATTGTTCTTACAGATTCAAATCTTGTCATCCGCACTTTCATTGGTATTCTGACCTTCAATTTCAAAGTTCAAATAATATAAGTTTTTAAAATTTGGTAGCAGTGGCGATAATTTTTCCTTTTTAATCAAGTATTTTACAGCTATGGTCAGTAAAAAGATTTTTTGTCACGTTCTGTGCATTTACAAACGCTTAGTAAGTTAAAGGAAATTTTAGGTACATATAAAGTCTCGTATAGATAGCATCCTTGCTGGTTTTTGTTTGGTAATTTCAATGACATTTCAGTAGTTCCCTTTCTCAAGGCTTTCACCGAGTTTCCATCCCCAAGAGTTATTATCTCTTGTGCTACATCAAAACTTTCAACGGGTATAGGAAATACACAATTACGAGAGAATGAAAGGGAGTAGAAAATTCCTTTAACTTTAAAGGAAGAAAAAAATGTTCATAAAAAAGGCTTACTCAAAATATTCCTCTGAGCGCCTAAAAAATTCTTTAAGCGAGTAGATTGTTGAAGAGTTAAAATACTCACAGATTTCTTCAGAGTTCTTTTAGAGGAGGAATCTGTCAGAAGATACGAATTTTGCAGCTGAGTGAGTTCGTAGGCCGGCAACAGAAATCTTCTAGTTGCAAGGAGGCAGATCTCAATTTGTTTTTAGTAGTGAATAGACGTCTTTACAGCCAAGCAGTTAGATCTTCTTTGTTGAAACTGATTCCGAAGTTGAATGGTGTTCTCTATCGCCGACCTAATGTTATCACAGACGGTTGTCGAATACTTACTGTCCAAGAGACGCTTATCCTCCGTATTTATGGGATTAGGTGTCTAAGAAATATCGGGGACTTTTTCCTCCAAAATTGCTACACAAATTTCCTGGCCCCTTAATTGATTATCTCTGATAAGAACCAAGGTCTTGGGAGCTGCTTTTTGGAAGCAAGGGTCCGACAAGCTGTGAGCGTTGCTCCCAGACTTTATGGCACCATGGACAGGATAATGGTGGTCAAATTTCTTTTATATTTTCAGCTCTCTCGTTTGTCAGAAAAATATTCTAATCTCTGATAAGAATCAAGGCTTTGGAAGCCGAATTTGAAAGCAGGAAAAAAAAAAAGTTGGGGGTGGATTAGAAAAGAGGCTATAATGTGAATTTGTAAAATATTGCAGTTGTGGTTCTCAAATTAAATTCTAATAGACCATATCTTGTGGGGGGCGATATCATCCCCAAGATAATAATGATAATAAAAGAGAATATGCTGTAAAACAGAAAAGGGCGTTTTCAAAAGAACCAAGATGTTAAAAATGCTGTAAAGACTTCGAACTGTAAATGTTACAGAAAGTTAATTTAGAAACAAAATACAATCTTTTTTGTAAGTGTACAAAGGATATCAGATTACTAATAGAAAATTACTGGGACAATGATAATTGGAACTTTTAGAAAAAGAAATGGATTTTAACACTTTAAGAATCAAGTTAAAATAAAGGAGGTTTTGATTTAGAATTTATTTCTGAAACTGGACTCTCTGTAGTTTACAAAGAGCAGCAGAGTGATTACTAACAGGGTGATAATAATAGTCTTGTCATGGACCTTGGAAGCCAATCGGGGAAAAGTAAACTGTTTACGCTCGAAAGAGTGAAATTGTACTTTAAAATTATGTCAGTACGTTCGCACTAGAAAAACATACGTCACCAGTTCTTTATATAAAGAGGCGAACTAACCGGAAGATAGGAGAGTTTTGGGCTCGTCTGTCTTCAAAGTGCGGTCGAGCTAGATGGAGATATTTCGGAGATTGAAAAGCAGAGAATGAGGTCTGGCTGAAGGAGTGACGTCAGAGATTGTAAAGAAAGTGTGTGTTGCTGTGTGTTGTTGAGCTGAGGACGAGGAAGCGAAATACCGCCGCTAACATCTAAGTACCGATACTCCTGCTATTACTAATACTACTACTAGGATTACGACTGCAGATAACAGGAACATCGAAGGTTGTAGTAGTTGCGCTAAGAACAAACCAAAAGGGGATAAAACGAAGGCCACATCCCTCCTTACTGAAATTATTCGAAGTATTGTTCTTGTTTGGTTATTGTTCACATACAAGAAACATTCAACCTTGTGCAACAAGAATTATTTTTTTGCGTGTCTGTTTGCTTTTATATATATAAAAACTTTTGTCCTTTTCAAAATCGAATCGACTTGGTTGTTTATTTTTCTGTTAAGCCGATTCTCCCCGACAAACTCGCAGGTGGATCAACGGGGAGCTTCCGGATTTCTACGACCTGATGACTACTCTCCAGGATCAAAACAATCACAACGTGGCTGGATTTTTATCCTTAATTATGTCTACCTTGCGAATGAGCAATTTAGTGATGGGGGTGACGGACATGTTCGTAGCTTTAAAGGAGAAACTTACTGGTAAAATAAAAAGTTAAACATTAAATAAATTTTTCCTATATGAAAAAAATCAACCTCACAAGATGGCGGCTAAAAGTTAAAAATGAACAATACATGATGGCCTCCAATAAAGGCGGAACATTCAAAAAGTAACGAACAAGTCGCCACGAGGTTAAAAAAAAAAATTCTGACCGTGAGAGAAAGAAAAAATAATTAAAAAAAAGACAGGAAGAAAAAAAAATACAGTGTAAGGGAGACAAATCTGCAAGACCCTTGAAAATTAAAAAAACTTAATCTAAATAACTTAAAAGTATACTATAACAAATTCGCAAGCAAAACTACTGTTTGAATTTTGCACAGCAGAATTTGCCGGGTTTGAATTTTGACAAAGTTTCGGAAATTTTATTTTCTGAAAGAAAATAAAAACTGCTGCATAAATATTTTCACTACTGCCCGAAGTAATAACGAAAAAGAAAAAAAAATGAAAATCCAATTCAATTATACAAAGAAAAAATATTTATTTCTAACCAGCTAACTTGCAAAAATTCGTCCCTTTTTGCTGAGAATAGGATAACCTATTCTCTAACACAATGTAAAACATATACCAGAAAAAAAATTAATTAAAAAATTACAATGCACAAAAAAAAAAAACGTAAAAAAAACCCAAAAGGATTGAGCCCACCTGCAATGATAACATTTCACCCTTCCCCTTCAAAGGGGCCGGTTCACCTTTGAACTGTCCAATCACAGTTCATTAAAAAATATATCAGTTCATGTTCATAGGGCCAGTAACACAGTGAGTGTCTATTGTTCTCCCTTCACATAAAAATTTTCAAACAGTATTTTCTAGAAATTACCGACTTGGTAATCAAAGCTGAGTACCCAGTATCATATAGGCAAGAAAAAGAATATACGAGGTTAAAGTTAGAAACCTGGTCTGGGTGCGATACAAACAGCAACCTCGCTTACTCATGGACACCTTCGTTTTACTACCCCCACCTCAACCCAACTAGCAACAGATAGTAGTCGTGAACAAAGCCAAAGGCGATAGAAACGCATTCGGTCAAAATTGCAAGTAAACCCTAAACTTACAAGATACAATACCTAAAAAAACGGGCTATGGTGGAGCCAGCTAATGGAGAAAACTGTACGTAGTTATCGGCCTTGATTAAAAAAAAAATGGCTTGCGGAGGACAATAATGGAGGACACATAAATACACGTGCAAAGCACGACTCTATCCAATCATCTTCCATCGGCTGGTTACATGTCGGTATTACCAAAAATAAAGGTTGAAATAATAATAATATCTGATCGTTCAACTTGTTTATTTCTTTATAACAGCAGTTATAACAGGTAGGGACACTACCACATGGGACAGGAAGATGAAGCAGGAAGGGGTCGAACCGTAAGAATGGGAAGAGTCTCACAATGCGAGGATGCTGGGGCATGTATTTTATAAGCACAGAGATGCAACAGGTGCGGCCGTTGTGGACATAAGGCGAGGTGTTGTGGGATAACGAAAGAACCACCATTGTTCTCCGTTACAAGAACCCGCCCTTAGAAAATAGAACCAGAGGAACACCCCAGCACACGAAGTAAGAGGGAGGGTGGTCCAGGTAAATAGAGGAGTGATGCGATGTTAGGCATGTAACCGGGTCGGCCATTTTCCCGCCAAGTTTCCTGGAAGAAGGTGCTGGTTCGGTAACGAACCAGGACACCTGAAGAAAAATTGTCCCTAAGCATGCAATGTCGGCCATTTTGCCACCAACTGCCTCTACAGAAATAGAAAGGGCGAACCTCAGGAGTGCTGCAGGAAGGGCACCACGGCATAGAAGACGGCAGCGGACCCCGCGCTACAGTGATGATGAAGATTCATTGTTGTCGTAACCCATATCTGAATGCACAAGCGGACATCGATTCAAAGGGAGGGTAGCCAGGGTGTTTTCCTTGCTGATTCAAGAGGAGGAACAAACCTGAGGCTGCGGGGTTGGTTAAGACCCGATATAGAAATTGATCAGATGGACGGGAAGCCAATAAAGATAACGGGAATAGTAAGAAGTTAGGAGGGACAACTAGTGTTTCCAAATTCTATGTGGTCTGTGATTTTTGTGGAGAGATTGATTGCACCGACATGGAGCACAAGTGGAGTTCAACACCAGTCAATGTTTTGGAGATGTCATTAGGGGAATACCGCTGATAGGTCAGCATCAGTAGTGGTTTACGATGACAAAGTTACCACCAAGTATCAAGTAGAGGTAGGCTGGTGACAAAGGAAAGAGTGGGAGTAATAGTTTTCAACTGACCACGGTAGATGAATATAGCCCTGTAAAAGACGAAGTAGCCTTGTGTGAGACAGTTGTGGAAGCGGCAGAAGTAGTACCTATTATGTTGGCATGATTTGCCAACATAACAGGTACTACTCTGCCGCTTCCACTATATCAACAAATCAATGAAGGTAAAGAAGGAAGAAGAGGTAGGAATGATTCTACCATTAAGTTCCATACAACGGGTGGAATTCAATGAAGAAAGAAGCAAAGAACAGAGTCAAGTCAAAGAACGAAGCGATATCTCCTGTAAAGAAGTCCTTTAAGTAGCAAATGCTTAGTCGCAATGGAAGAGGAAGGGAACAACAAACTTAGAATTACTGTTTTCTGCTGTTAGAAAGTTGAGAGGAACAATCGAAATAATTCTCTTGGGGGAAAGTTAAATTGAAATCAGATTTTAGAAGCCACCAGTTGAAATAAAAAAAAAAAAAAACAAAGGAAAAAGAAAATTCTTTTTGGCAAAAAGAAATGAAAAAGGCAGTAGTAATTTTTTTTCTTTCATTGCTTGAACGGAGGGTTGTTCGTCGGAGAATTATTTTATTGTGTATAGACTGTCGATTAATTGTTGGATAGATTCCAACTCAATGACGCTGATGAGTTCGATTTTAAATGTGGACCACCCCGTTGTTGATGTGGTGTCAGCCTATAAGGTCGCCACGATGCCAGGTGTTGTTGAAACACAAGAAAGAAAATATCGGTTTGATATTGTGGATGTAAAATGAGGAACATTATAGTAACAATTGCTTACTACTACTGAAGTGGATTTCTGGCTCTATGAATGAGCCATGGAATTTAAAGTGACCAAGTGTCATGGAAACGATTACAGGGAAGATTTTCCGAAGTCATATTGTTAGACGAACTCGATGTCGGTGCGCAACGATATCGGACCCACTGAAAGTCCCACTCAGTAACTAGCTATAGGGGTTGGTTGGTTGGAGAGGATAGAGGTGTGGATAAGTTGAAGGAGGGCAGAAGAATTTACTTGTTTGTGGTGTCGTTGGATTGTACATGGGCCCATGTATGTCCGGCGATAGTATCAATGAGACCTGACGAAAGCGTCACGCCCCTGTTTGGAACCAATCGATCTGCTAAGAGAGTTGGCTAAAATAAGGGGAGTTCGCAGTTAGGAAACAAGGAAAAAAGGAATAGTGAGAACGTTACAGAATAGTTAAAACAGAGCATAAAGCTTTGAATTCAGCCATGAAGAAATTTATGATACTGAGAACCGATGAGGCTAGAGAATAGAGAATGTCGGGTGGACGTGTTGGTGACGTTTTCTTCTTCATTAGGCCCCATCTATGTGACGGGTAATCACAAACTGTGTGTGCTAGAGTTATTCAAGGAAATAAGGGAAGAATTAGAAAAGAACTATCAAGTAGAAATACACACGAATGCTGTGCTGCCCCAGGCTATTAGTATCTCTGACGGGGTCTTGGCAAATGCTACACAAAAAAAATTGATCTGACTAGAGTGTGTGGGGAGAACCCACTCGAACTTAATTGTGACCCCATTGTCCCTAATTGAGCTGCCCGGGGTGTTCGGCCTTTAGAGTGTACATTACGCTTCCTCCATATTATCAGGTGGAAGATAAGTATGAAGAACGAGATTCACTCATAAAAACAGTGAACAAAAGCCTAAGTAATTGGAAGGAATTGAACGAGTGCTAGAGAAATTTCCCGAAGTTGCCTTAAAAAGCATGCCGACCTTGTCGAAACCCGTAAAGAAAGTTAACTAGGAACAATTAGAAAGACACTTAATCGATGTCAGTCAATCAGTTATGTACCATGCGTGATGCACGCTTAGGCGATCATGTATGTTTCGATACATGACTGACGAGGCAGATTTTTCCCGCAGTAAGTTGCCATTTCTTTCTGCGGTAGACCAGTTGCCATCCAAGGCTATAGAACCCGGTCTGTTCTGCTATTTACCTACAGCTGGTGGAAGAAGAGGATTCATACCTTTCTTAACATTTCGATTCTTCAATCCGAGCCGCTATCCATTACTTGTAAGCGATCTGGGATTACAAAGGAAATGTTTGTCGCAGATTATTTCCACGTCGCCGACAATAAATCACTAAGTTCAGACTCGAACATCGGGGACAGAAAGAAAATGCCGAAAACTCGATTCGCAAGTACTATTTCACAAATCACAATGCACGCAATCAGTCCGAAAAATAACACCCTCGGCAGCCAAAATCGCCGATTTTTTCCCCCGATTCGAGAACACCAATTGCTTTTATCGGCCGAACATTTTTTTTTCCATTCGTCGACAAGCTGGGAGAGGATGTTCAGTAATTTGCATATCAACATATTGTTATAGCGACTCCTGCGACGGACTTTTTTTTTAATTCAAATATTCCATTTTCAGCATGTCATGCGTAATACGTGCCCTTTTTGTTTGTTAAGTAATTTTCTTTTTCGCCACATTTTCCGTCGTAGAATACACGTGACTCCCTGTCGCTTGGTTTGACGAGATAAGTCGCCGTTTTCTTCGCTTTATTACTCCACTTGTGCCTCCTTTCTAATCAATGTAGATAGTTAGAATACGACCTGGAGAGAAAATAGAGGATCTATAAGCTTGTCATTAGTTGTCCGCCGTTTTCTTCGCTATACTCCCCACTGATCTCACTATCACAAATCGAACAGCCTGGAGCAGCTCTCTCTATCCTGGTGCTTCGTCGTAATGGCACTATTTCCCTTACGCGTGTCGGAGAGTCATCTCCGGAAGAGTCATCAGACGTATCTCGAGTTTCCGAAAGTTCTGTGTCTGTGGAAGCATCGGATTCGCAGATCTCAATTATTCGTTCACTGTCAGATGATGAACCCTCATCGGATTCGCTCGGCCATGTATCAGAATCAACGAAAAGGCGAAGATCTTTTACTTGCCGTGGCATCCCGTCAACTAGTATTGTTTGTGGACTTACAATGTCCATCACGCGACCCACTTGATACCTGGAGGTACACCGGCCATGGGGAGATTTCACCCATACTCTGTTCCCAACTTTGTATATATCGTGATACTTACAACGATCAGGTGGTAATGTTGTAGTAATTCCCTTTACTTTCAGTTGGTAACGGTGAATCATATTGGCAGGCGCATAAGTCGACATTGCTTTCTTGCTGCAATTCGCTTTATGCTCCGATGAGATCTTTCCACTATACCGTTTCCTGCAGGAACATAGGCGCAGCGAAAACGAAGTTGGACTCCCCAGTCATCCAAAAAAATCTTTAAAGGACTTACTGCGAAATGCAGTGTCATTGTCGGTCAGGATTTCTGGTGGTGGGCCTCTTTCAAAAAAATACTTTCTAACTGCTGAATGACGCTTCTTGAGTCTTGTTGAAGCAGGCGTCGCCATATCGCAAATCTACTAGGGCCGCAATCAATTAACGTAAGGTAGTGTTTCCCACCGTAATGTGTAATGCCCATTCCTAAGTGGGTCCAGATTTCAGTCACACTTAGGTTGCCACGAGGCCAACGACTTGAGACTGTGTCAGTTGAATGGAATTCTTTACATTTTCTGACCACTGCCTTGACGGCCGCCTTGGATGTCCTAGGGTAGACTCGTCTCACAAAATATAGCGTCCGCCTGACGCCAGGATGTCCACTCTGGCAATGTATGGCACGTGTCTGATCAGGAGAGGTTTCGTTCACCATGGAAGCATCGGGCGTGTTGGTTCGATTTCCTTCTTGATCATATCATACCATCATTGCGGTACTCTGGTGAGCTTATCCGCTCGATTCTCACTCGACGTTACTAAACTTATCGTGATCAATAAGTTATACTCTTGAATCAGCTTTTCAAGAGTACTCAAACACCTCCGGATCAGCATCTCACTTGCCGCCTTAGTTCGTATTCTGGCTTTGCCAGTGAGCATGTTTGATATCCACCGGTGCACACACGCGGAGTCCGTGAAGAGGTGTAGTTCCGTTGCGCCCCACTGTAATGCTAAATTGACGCCCTTCAGAATAGCATCCAATTCTGATAAATTGATATGTTGGGCATCCTTCACATGTCGCAGCCAACATTCGTCTTCTACAACGCTTCCGTCAACCTCCAACGAAACCCATGTGGGGAGAGAACTTGCATCGACCCATACCTCATAAGCGTGTCCGCTTGTGCACCTCTTACCGTGTGGAGGGTCATTAGTTGGCCGCAACCTGATTGCTGTAGGAACAGCAATATGGAAGTTGGAGGGTGTAGGAAGAGAACAGTTGACGAAGTTTTGGCAGATGCACAAGAGATGGTTGAGAGGGGGAGTGCTGAACAGCGGCCACCGCATCACCCCGTTCAGCTAAAAAGAAGATGACACCAAATCGTGTTCGGCGGAACGAAAGAAGGACGAATCGAAACCCGTTAAGGAAAAAGACAGGCCTCCTATTTCGGAGAGTGAAAAGTAGAAGAAAGAAAGAAATTATAAGGGATGTTGAGAGTCCCACAGTAAAAAAAAAAAAAAAAAAAAAATGACATTTTTTAAACACCGGATGGAAAACAGAAAAAGAGAGAAAAAAATTTATATCTATATATATTGGCTCCTGAAATATCAATTTCAGTTGAGCTCTCTGCGGACGAGGTGTGGGTTGGTAAACAGTGACTATTATAGCTATATAGCGAGACTCTTCGCAGATGCGAATTGAGTCACTGTCGGTCACTGGGCGTGTTTCTAAAAATAAATACGCTAAAAAATTCACTTTCATCCCTTCGGCTTAATGGTTAGAATCTCCGACTGGCACCAATTCAGTCGGGTTTCGATCCTAGCTAGAGGCAACCGGATGTCTAGCCACGCTGATGAGCTGTGAAACAGCGTAACAGTCTGTCTGTGGATGACAATATAATATAATATAATATATATATATATATGTATATATTTGTTATTCGTCTACCTAAAACGCGATAAAATTTATTAAAAAAATGGAATTGTCTGTTTTTGTCGCTTCTTGACCAAAGAGCTGGCGAGACAAGGCGACAGATAACAGATCCCAAATGCAACCGACCTCCAGGGACGCGATAAGAATTCCCCACTGATGGAAATATTGGATGATAATTGAATTTTGCAATTTGGGCTTGACCACGCCTAGCACCTGGGAACAGGTTTGAGGGGGAGACTGAGAGGTGGAAGCCAAGATAGAATTTCAAGGAAGGCGGAGGAATCACCTGCACCTTCGAGTGGTGATGGTGAGTGGCCTCCCACATGAGATTGAAAGAGTTGGGAGGATCGATATTCTGTCACCGCCACTGTTTAAGGGGGATCTCCCCAAATTTAATCAGGCAATCAATTTCCCAAGAACAGACAGCGAAAAGGCTCTGTATAGAACACCCAACTACCCCATGCTCCGCGCCCGGTTTGCGTGAGGGTCCATGAATACAGACGAGTGACGTATTGAGAGACAGTGAATAGTTCGAGGTGCTGTTTGTGAGAGAGGCACGTTGCCAGTTGGTTCAAGACACGATTTGCCAAACTTCACACAACTTCTGAAGAAAGAACTGAAATTCCTGTATTGTTCCAGACTACCAGATGCAACTGAATAGTCGGCTCAAAGTGAAAAAATCAAACTTCAGACTTGTACCAGTTTACCGAGCGTGGCTAAACATAGTGTCATGGAGTATTAAGAGGGAAGAGGCTGAAAATCTGCATAATTTAGTTAATAGAACGTGCATTGTATGAACCTTTGATATCAACGTTTGGGGTTAGCGTCAAATGACATCACCAACAAATACATTTTCCCTGTATTCATATATTTTTTGAAAACAATATTTTTAATATAACTTTGTGTAAGCTATCGAAACTTGTTAAAAATCAAATTAAATTTTAAAATAATGGTGTTCAAAAAGTAATTGAAATTGGCATAAAATAGCGTCAATTTCAATTGAATTTTCACTGTGTTCTTGAGGACACATGGCACAACTGTCAAAACTTGTTAAAATTAATATATTTTGATCGAAAATATATTTAGATCGATTTTCAATAATTTTATTTTTTCTAAAATTTTCAAAAAAAAACTCTATTTTAAAATAACGGTGTTAAAGGTATCAAACGTAACTAAAATTGGTGTAAATTGCTTCAATTTCAATTTAATTTTCATCGTTTTCAAAATTGTGTAAAAAAAATAAAAACATTTAATGTAACTTTGAGTAAGTTGTCGAAATTTATTAAAATCAACATTTTTATCGAAAACAAATCGAGTTCAATAATTGTAGGGATTTTCCGAGGTTTTCAAACAAGAAATTACATGCTTAAGGTGTCAAAATTAATTGAAATTGGTGTAATTTACGTCATATTCAATTTAATTTTCAATGTATTCATAAGTTTGTAAAAAACAATATTTATTATATATCTTTGTGTAAGCTGATGACACATAATATATATTATTATAGAAATCAAATCGATTTCAATATATTATAGCGTTTTCTAATGTTTTCAAACAACAAATTACATTTTAAATTAACGCTGTAATGTAAGGTATAAAAAGCAATTGAAATTGATGTAAATAACGTAATCATGAATTCAATTTTAATTGTTTTCAAAAGTTTGTAAAAGAACAAAACCTTTTAATATAACTTCTTGTAAGCTGTCGAAACTTGTTAAAATAAATATTTTCCGAACGAAAGCAAATCGATTTTCAATAAAATAAGGGATTTTCGTAGATTTAATAAAACAAATTATTTTTTAAAATAACGGTGTTTAAGGCATCAAAACTAATTAAAATTGGCGTAAAGAGAATCGATTTCAATTTAATTTTCATTATTTTTAAAAGTTTGTAAATATTAATTATTTTCATATAATTTTGTGTAGGCAGTCGAAACTTGTTAAAATCAAAATTTGAAGAGCGAATCTAAGTAGATTTTCAATAATAATTTAAGGGATTAAATTTTAAGTTTACGGTGTTTATTTAAGGTATCAAAAATTATTGAAACGGGAACAAATATCCTCAGTTTCAATTCAATGTTTTCATCAGTTTGAAAAAAAACAAAAGAATTTTAATATAACTTTGAGTAAGCTATCGAAACTTGTTAAAGACAATATTTTTAGATCGAAACCAAATCGATTTTCATTAATTTCAGGGGTTTTCTAATGTTTACCAACACCTAATTACATTTTTAAATATAATGTGATTAAGGTTTAAAAGATAATCCAAATCGGCTAAAACAGCATTATTTTCAACGGAATTTTAAATGTTTTCAAAATCCGCATATTTTTTAATATAACTTTGTGTAAGTTGTCGAAATATGTTAAAAAACAATATTTTAGATCAAAACTACATTTTGACAGCACCAAATTACAATTTAAAATTACTGTGTTTAGATAATGATAAATTGCATATTTTGAAATATTAATACTAGAAAAAATGATAAAATAGAGAAAAAATACGCAGTGTCTTCACACAATATAATGCGAATTAACAAAAAGTAGTAAAATGCTAAGGATAATGATAAAATGCATATTTAAAAAGGTTCATACCAGAAAAAGTATTACAATGAAGTATAGAAAAATGCGCAATTTTTCGCACAAAATAATGCGAATTAACAAAATTAGTAAAAAGCTAAGGATAATGATAAACAGCAGATTTGGAAAGGTTCCTACTAAAAAGTGAAAAAATTGAAGAAAAAATACGCAATTTTTAGCATAATATAATGCGAACTAACAAAAGTTCTAAAAAGCTAAGTATAATGATAAACAGCATATTTTGAAAGGTTCATACTAAACAAAGTGATAAAATAAAAAGAAAAATACGCAATTTCATCGCATAATATAATGCGATCTAACTAAAAGTTGTAAAAATCTACAGATAAAGAGCGTATTTGGAAATCTTGCTACTAGAAAAAGTGAAAAAATGAAGAAAACTACGCAGTTGTAGAAATCTAAAGATAATGATAAACAAAATATGATGAACAGCGTAATTGGAATGGTTCCTACTAGAAAAAGTGAAAAAATAAAGAAAAAAAAGCAATTTATTCGCATAATATAACGCAAATTAAGAAAACGTTGTAAAAAACTAAGTATAAACAGCATATTTTGAAAGGATCATACTAAAAACGAAAATTTCGCGGTTTCGTTTATAGAAAATCGCACGGCATCCATCGCCTGAGTGAAGTACTCATCCGAATTCTCCATATTATCTCCTGCCAACTTCGTTAGCACATCGGCTAAGATCCGGTGGAATCTTTCTACTTTCGCATTGCTCTGGGGATGGTATAGGGAGTAGGTACAGTATTTAATTCTCTCAAAGTCTCTTCCATGATTTGGAAACATTAGGAAGCCAATAAAATTATTGAAAATCGATATGGTATAGATCGAAAAATATTGATTTTCACAAGTTTCAACAGTTTTTTCACAAAGTTATATTACAGATTTTATCTTTACAAGGGTTTGAAAAAATATTGAGATTTACTTGCAAGCTGTTTTGGCTACTTTTTGAACTAACGTTGAACACGCTTGCTTGAAAATTTAAATTGCTATTTGGAAACATTACAATACCAATAAAATTATTGAACATCGATATGGTATCGATCGAAAATTATAGATTTTGACAAGTTTCAACAATGATATATTACATATTTTAGATTTTACACAATTTTGAATAATAGTGAAATTTACTTGTAAAAGCAAGTTGTTTTGGCTACTTTTTGAAAGTTAAACACGCTTACTTGAAAATTTAATTTAATTTGATTTTTTTTCGATTTTCAATAATTTTATTGGCTTTCTAAAGCTGTTTTGGCTACTTTTTGAACGCTTGATTGAAAATTGAAGTTTCTATTTGGAAACATAAGAAAGCCAATAAAATTATTGAAAATCGATATGGTATCGATCGAAAATTATAGATTTTGACAAGTTTCAAACAGTTTTCACAAAGTTATATTAGAGATTTTATCTTTTACAAGGGTTTGAAAATATTGAGATTTACTTGCAAAAAGCAAGCTGTTTTGGCTACTTTTTGAAAGTTAAAACGCTTTTTGAAAATTTAATTTAATTTGATTTTTTCGATTTTCAATAATATATTGGCTTTCTAAAGCAGTTTTGGCTACTTTTTGAACGTTAAACATGCTCAGTGGCGTAGCTATGGGGGGGTGAGGGGGGCGGACCGCCTTGGGTGCCAGCACAGGAGGGTGACATGCACTGAACCTATCAAAGGAACAGTTATTTCCATAATGTGAACTGATCGGAATATGGATTAGTTAAACTGATGTGATTTTGAAATCTTATGAAAGGTATTTGCAACTTAAAGCAATGCTTCATTATAGTACCCGGTGAAAAACTTTAGACATCTCATTGGGTTGCCATGTATTAGATCTTAACATAAATTAACAATCAGTTAATATATATTTCAAATTTCTAAACATTCACTCAGATATTGCTTAGATCTATTTAGTTGAGGTTTGTAGGTGTAGAGAATAAGAAACTACTTTGTATTTGTCTTAGGCTATTTCATATGAAAGACCATCATTTAGCATTGGCATGTCCAATTTAAGCTCCTTGTCTTGCTGGCATAGTAGCTGTAAAACAGTTTTTTTTCTTCTCTTTTTAGATCTGTTCCAGCACTATCACTATTCTCTGTGCTATTTCAAATCTAATTTAATGCTTTTTGCAACATCATTTTCTCTAAAGTGTAAATGTAAAAATATGTACCTGGTGAATTCATATAAAAAAATAAATGTTCTTTACTGAGTTTTGTATCCATTTACAAGAGACATGCATTTTGAATGTCCAACACTAGATTTGTTAAAATGCATTTGCTTTGATCAAATTCTTCAGCTTTGTAGACCACAATTGTTTAAAGAGCTACATACACCATATTGGGTTATTTACAAGAAGACCAAATTTTATTGAAAGAGTATATATACTGAAAGGACTAAGAAATTGTATTGTAAGAAATTTGCAAGTGGCAAAAATAGTTTTATTTTTCCCCACATAATACTGGAACTGAAACCTGGAATCATCCTGCTTTGGACTCTACTGACATCATGACTTTCCCTGTTATTCATCACTGTGCCTGCTCTCTTCCACTCACTCTACTAACATTTATAGTTTGCTTGCTGAGCAAGGACAGGAGGAAAACACAGGACAGGAGGAAAACAAAACAAAACAACATACAAAATCTGACTGCTTTAATATGACTACAGACAAAATAACAACATAAAAGGAGAGTAAAAACAAAAAATCAATAAGCAAACTAGACAAAAATACTGATAATGAA